GCTCCGGTGATCCTTCCGCCTCAGCCTTCCGAGTAGCCGGAATTACAGGCATGCGCTACCACGCCCGGCTGATTTTTTTTGATTTATTGTAGAGATGAGGTCTCGCTGCCCGGGCGGGACTTGAACCCGTAGGCTCAGGCAATCCACTCACCTCAGCCTCCCAAAGGTGCAGGATTACAGGCTGAGCCACCGAGCCTGGTTTACTTGGATGTCTTAAGTGGTCATCTCAAAATTAAAATATCAACTGTCTCTCTCCTGCCTCCTCATTGTTAAAGCCTAAAACCGGAGAATCGGTTGGGCGTGGTGGCTTATGCCTATAATCCCAGCACATTGGGAGGTCGAGATGAGAGAGGATTACCTGAGCCCATGGGTTCGAGACCAGCCTGGGAAACTTGGAGAGACCTCATCTCTACAATAAATCAAAAAATTAGTCAGGTATGGTGGCACGTGCCTGTGGTTCCAGCTACTTAGAAGGCTGAGACAGAAGGATCATCTGAGCCCAGCAGGTCGAGGCTATGGTGGCCATGAGCATGCCACTTGCACTCTAGCCTGGGTGAGAGAGTGAGTCCTACTCAGAAAACCAAGCCAGGCCAGGTCTGGTGGCTCAAGCCTATAATCCCAGCACTTTGGGAGGTTGAGGCGAGAGGATTGCCTAAGGTCACGGGTTCGAGGCCAGCTTGGGCAACTTGGTGAGACCTGTCTCTACAATAAATCAAAAAATTAGTCAGGCCTGTAGTTCCAGCTACTTGGAAGGCTGAGGTGGAACAATCACCTGAGCCCAGCAAGTCAAGGCTGTGGTGGCCGGGAGCATGGTACTGCTCTCCATCCAGCCTGGGTGACAGAGTGAGACTCCAACTCATTCATAAAATTTTTTGATTTATTGTAGAGATGAGTTCTCTCCGAGTTGCCCAGGCTAGCCTCGAACCCATGGACTCCAGGAATCCTCTCCCCTCGGCCTCCCAAAGTGCTGAATTCCAGGTGTCAGCCACAGAGCCCTGAGAGTAGCCATTGTTAAAGCAAATGTAAACAAGAACAAAAAAGAAAGAGTAAACCACTCTCTCTTCCCCTAGGCTTGTGCAGTCTTGTGGCTAGGCGTGGTGGCACATGCCTGTGGTTCCAGCTACTTAGAAGGCTGAGGCAGAAGGATCATCTGAGCCCAGCAGGTTGAGGCTGCGGTGGCTGTGAGCAGTGTGCGTGCCAGTGCTCTCCAGGCTGAGCAACAGAGTGAGGCTCCAACTAAAAAAAAAAAAAAAGGGTGCCTGCATAACCTAACCCTGAATTGTACCCCACATCTTTAAAATTAAAAATAAAAATAAATAACAAAATTAGCTGGATTTGGTAGCATGTGTCTATAGTCCCAGCTACTTAGGAGGCTGATGTAGGAGGATTGCTTGAACCCAGGAGTTGGAAGCTGTGGTGAGCCATCAGCATGCCACTGTACTCCAGCCTGGGCAACAGAGTGAGACCCTGACTCAAAAATAAAATAATAAAAGAAATTATAAAAGCCTTAATATAATGATTTTATCTATTTTTATACATTTATTTTAAAAGTTCTCATTAACTAGTTTATAATAACATACAGCTAAAATCATGTTTCATATGAAGCAAGAAATAAGATATAAGACATTGTATTACTTTGAGAAATGTATTTACATTGATATCATTTACCCTGATTTGAAAATATAATTAACTTGGTTTAGGAAATAATTTTTTTTTTTTTTTTGAGTCAGAGTCTCATTCTGTCACCTTGGGAGATCCTTCTACCTCCACCTTCTGTGTAGCTGGGACTACAAGCACATGCCTGTTAATCTTTTGATTTTTTTGTTGAGATAGGGTCTTACTATGTTGCCCAGGCTGGTCTTGAACCCGTAGGCTCAGGCAATCCTCTCACCTCAGCCTCCCAAAGGCGCGGGATTACAGGCTGAGCCACCAAGCCCGGCTAATAGTGACAATATTTTATTATTCAGAAATAATTCCTTTAATTTTGATAAATATGATGAAAATTTCTTTTTAATGAAAAGAACGGAATATATTTCTAAAAGCTAATTGTTATAGCAGCTAGCATATGCTTTCATTTTTTTGTTACTGAACATTGAAAGTAACAAGTATTAGAAAAGGTGAAATAGGAAGATTGGCTGTAACTGGCATTACTCTTTCATCATATAATTGAGAAAATAAGTTTTAATTAGTTATTGAATAATGCACACTGAATTATTTATTTATTTATTTATTTTACTTGGAGTCTCACTCCGTTGCCTAGGCTGGGGTGCAGTGGCACAATCATGGCCACTGCAGCCTTGACCAGCTGGGTTCAGGCAAGTAGCCAGAACTACAGGCGTGCACCACCACGCCCGGTATGCCACTGCATTTAAAAGGAATTACATAATATTTGTATCTGTGAGTTTCATCCAGTACAATTTAAACATTTTCCAAGTACGAGAAATTTCCCAGTATATTTATAAGTTTCAGTGTCACTAACCTGTACTGTCTCAGCTATTAGATGGTAATTGTTTCTTTCTGACCACTGACACATCCTAGTGGTGAGTATTGAGAATAGCGGAAAAGAATTTGCCTTCAATTAAATCATTTAAAAAGCCACTTTAAGCACTTAGTACTTCTCATCAAATCTCTGTTTGAGCCAGTTGCGTTGGTTCACACCTGTAGTCCCAGCACTTTGGGAGGCAGAGGCGAGAAGATTGCTTGAGTCCAGGGGCTTGAGACCAGCCTGGGCAACTTGGCGAGACCTTGTCTCTACAATAAATTTAAAAATTAGCCAGGTGTGGTGGCTAATTAAACATAAAAAAAAAAAAAAAAGTCTCTCTTTGACCACGCATGGTGACACACTTATAATCCCAGTGCTTTGGGAACCCAAAGTGGGAGGATCCTTTGAGGGCAAGAGTTTGAGACCAGCCTGGGCAACATAGTGAGACACAACGTCTATTTAAAAATATATATATATTAGCCGGGCATGGTAGTGCGCGTCTGTAGTTGCAGCTACTTGGAAGGCTGAGGCGGAAGGATCGCCGGAGCCCAGCAGGTCAAGACTGTGGTGGCCAGAAGCGGCCACTGCACTCCAGTCTGGGCGACAGAGTGAGACTCCAACTCAAA